AATTAATTATTAAACAAAAATATTAAATATAAACTAAGCAAACGTGCATTGCACGTTGCTTGCACCTAGTATATATATATATATATATATATGTATATTATTTATTTATTTATTTATTCTCATGCCTTTCATACTTTATAATGAAACAATATGCAGACAGTGAAGTGTGGAGATTATTTCCAAGCTGAGGATGGACCAAGAGAGTTCGGCAACATATGCATAGTCACCAAGTGGATACAAACGACGGATACTTCATTAGTGTTGCGCTGTTTGGAGGTCAATTACAAAGAGGTAAGGCGATTATCATGCAAGTGACATGATCTACAAACATAAATGTTTCTAAAAGGACCCTCATGAATTGATACAGTGCATTATTTTGAGTGCAAAATACCCTATTAGCCATTACGCAATTAACCAAATGTATACTCGTTCCAAGCAATTAAGCATGTATTTGAAGGACTTCTAATTCTGTTTTATCCTAAAATTCTGATTGACATCTACTTTGTCTTCTCATGCACATGCTTGGCAACATTATTGTTATATACTACTGAGAACTTTAGACTTTCCTTTCATTTTCTGTTTTCTTCAACGACTTATTCTTGCTACATTAAATTTCATCTTATATTCATTCTCTTCATTTATTTTCTTTCTATCTTCCCATAATAAATAAAGCATCGGTGCAAACTTTTTGTATCAAGACCTTGATTTATTAGACATGCTCAACTGGTGATATGATGACCTTGTTTTCCTATCAACAATTTGTTTAATCTTTGGGATTAGTTGTTACCAAACTAAAGTCGTCCCCGTGTGGCTGCAGTCTGAGGAGCCACCATTATCTGTTCTTCATATTCAGTATCCAGAATGGCCCGACCATGGAGTTCCGAAGGACACTGTTGCTGTTCGTGAAATTTTGAAAAGGGTATATGCTGTGCCACCCAGCCTCGGACCAATTGTTGTTCACTGCAGGTTTGCCTTTTATTGTCACACAAGTTAGAGTGACATAAAAAATGATCCAAATGACTCTGGAAGTTTATCTTCTTTAACAGTGCAGGTATAGGTAGAACTGGTACATACTGTGCAATCCACAATACCATCCAAAGAGTTCTTGTTGGAGATATGTCTGCTTTGGATCTTGTTAGTACCATAACCTCTTTTAGGTCGCAACGTATTGGAATGGTTCAGATGTTGGTATGTTTACTTCCCGATTTAATGCTTCACCATACTTACGATTTAGTAAAGAAAAACAGAGATTATTATTGACATTTAAATACAAGTCTAGTTGAAACCCTTTTCCCAACTTTTGCTGACTGTACTGCTAACTGTTTCAGGAGCAATATCTCTTCATCTATGATGCCATTGTCGATGAACTCGAAGACCTCATATCGGACAGAAGCTACCATAGTTCGTAATGATTTTTTCCACCATTTCTTCATTCGGCAAATGCCGCAAATCATCTGCCCTTACCTTCAAGATTCTCTTTGCTGTATGATTTTCATCTATAACAAAATTATTGACTTGAACTCCTAGTGTATGCTTGATACAATATTAGACATGATTAGACACCATAACGAACTCAATCCTCCTTACTGGACATGCTGTAAACACAATAAAAGTGCCTGGGCCTTTTCTTATTTCATTCAATGCTGTAGAATTCTCAACTGCTCTGGTCATGAATGTTATCCAACTGGTGATGAATTTCGTTCAGTACAATGCATTAGAAACTAACATCAGCATAGAACTTGTAGTCAACTATTACTGCTTTGGATTTGTTTGCATTATCATTGTGTTTGAATTTAAGCTTGTTAGTAGCTTTTCTGGGCTTCTTTTGACAGTGAGTGCATGTTTAATGTCGAAGTAAGACGAAAAAGCAGCACAAGAATCAGCTACTTATAAGCTCTGGGAAGCTTGCTTTTGAACATACTTTTAAGTAAATTTTCGTTTCTAATTATTTTGATAAACTGAAAAAAGTTAGGGTCCGTTCTCTTACCATTTTCAAGTCGTTTTTTGTTTTCGATTTTTCAAAACAGTAAAAACGTGTTCTCTTTTCTATTTTCGGAAATACGTTTTTGAAAACAATTTAAAAATTTACAAAGAAAACACAAAACGACAAATTTGTTGTTTTGAGTGTTTTCGGTTATAATCAAGTCCAAATTTTCAAAATGCGTTTTGAGTGTGTTCAAAATAATTTTTCAAAATGTTAAAAAGAATACATTTTTAACAATCTCAAAATGAACACTCAAAACACAAAATCCAAAATGAATTCAAAATTTAAAACTGAAACACAAAGAGAACATCTTCTTAGTTTTTTGCAAAGTTACTTTTTACTTCTAAGTTTACTGACTTAAGCGTAGCCAAACATGAAAATGTAATGAAATGATAATAAGAAAGCAAAGATATTCTTAAGTTTGAAATTTTTGGTTAAATTTCTTCTATCAACTAGTTTCCCTATTGCCACGGCTTAATGGAAGTTGCCTTGTTGATATGACTTTGCGGAAGAGAAAAGAAAGTGAAAAATAGAAAAAGGAAAATAAGTTGAGAAAAATAATTTCTTTTTCCCATTTTTGCTTGAGCAGAAAGTGAAAGGTTACATGTACATTGTGTTAGTCTAGTACTGATATAATTCCCTCGTTGAAGTTGATGTGATTAAAAAAAATCTTTCAAGGGTCTATAGAGATTCATAATTTTGCGATGGGACAATGAGAATGTGTCAATCGTTCTCAATAGTATGCCCCACTTATCACTTTCCAAAGATTTGAGTAGGAATTAATGATTAACCAAAGAATTTATTATTTACTGTGGGGCCCTTATAATTCTCATGCCAATACTTTGAGGGTTTTCTTGGAAATTTTGGTAATTTTACAAAATTCGTAAGCGTGTTAGAATTTGATAGGTTAGACACAAATTGGGATAACATTGGATAAAAAAGTATGTTTTGTATATGGTCTCGAACATTATTTGTACATACGTACGAGGCTTTAATTTTTTTTTGTTCTTAATCTTGTTCAATGCAGCATGAATCAATAAACCAAATATGTCACTAATGTAATTCAAACCTTCTTCTCTTTTAATTTTGAGAAATAATATTGGTATTAACACTAACTTATCACAAACTACAAAATTGAGATTTGCCCTAATTTTTTTTACCATAATTAGGAAAATAATATTTTTTTGGTAATAAAATAGAAGTTTAAACTTAAAAGGGTAAATGAGAAGGTAAATAGATCTTGGAAAAATCAACACAAATTCTCCATAATTGAATTGTTAGGTGAAACTTAAATATGACATTCATTTCGTGATAATAACACTTATTTTATTAAAATCTAAAATTTGTTTATTACAATATGGGACTAAGAGAAAAATATTTTCGATACGAAATCCTTCCAATCAAATTCCTCTATCTATACTTTTTTTGATCTCTCAAGTTGTATTTAAAGTAACGAAAGTACTAAGAAAATACAAATAAATTCTATAACATCAAAATTGCACTCTTTTACTATATTAGGATAATAAATTGAACAATCATCGTCAGAATATGATTTTTTTTTTACGACAATGTATATAAATTAAATAAATGTAGAAACGTACAAGGAGAATTTATAAGTTTTCTTTAATTACAATTTTGGAAGTTGACTACTTGACTTCGTGGTAGTATTTGGGAAAAACTCTCTTAAAATGGGAAAAAAAAAAGTTCTTTTTAGTCAATTAATCAAAAATCAGAAACACGGGAAATCAACAAGTCTTCACCCCTATATTTTCTCTAGATTACTCTGTGTACATAAATGTACATATGGAGATTCACAAAATGTGAGTGGGGTGGGACCCACGATACGCATAGAATGACTCATTTTCTCCAGCTCGTTTGAGGGTCAAAATTATCACTTTCATGGGAGAAAATTAATGTTGAAAAAATGAAAATCAGTAAAATAACTTATGAGTAGATTCTTGATTCCTCGGTTACCATAATTACACTGCAAAGAGTTTTCACATACTTTTGAGAGTTTTTTACCAGGCAGATACATACGATATATTGACGATATATTGAGAGAGACAGAGAAAGTGGTGGTTTCTCTCTCTACTCTCTAACCTGGTTCTTGGTTTGGTGTGATAGAGTCAGCAAAGCAGCACCACTACTAGACTACTTTTATGGTGAATGGTCCCCTTGAAGGTTGGAAAAACTGTTCTTGATTAGCTTCAGAGATCCCTGTGGGTTGAGAAATGAGTCCACCCCACTCCACCCACCCCGTACGTTCATTTCTACTCCTATAGACACAAACGTGTACGCACGCTAACTTTTTTTTTTTTTTTTGAGTTTCTTCGTGGTTCTTTTTCCATCCAAATCATCATCATATGATTGAAAATCTCACTCTCTCTCTCATCTGTCTTGTGTAGTAGTGTTCTCGTTGAATTGAAAGAGACATAAATTTTTTTTTCTTTTTATTTCTTCGATCCAAGTCATCATCTTAATCTCTGGTGCTGGGTAAGTTATCATTTTTCTATATAGTTTACAAGCACATATAAATAATTTTATTTTCTTTAATGTTGTTTTGGATTTCGATTTGTGGAATCAAAGTTTCGACTTTTACTTAATTTATTTTCTGGGCTGTGCTTTCACTGTGCAATTGCTATTATTGGATTGTGACTGAGTTTAATTCTTTGTCGTTTTGGGTTGCCCTTATGCTAGTGATTTACGGTATTGGTTTGACTTATTTTGCTAATTCCTTACATTGTAATTATTGCTGGGACATTCTTTTTCTTGTTTTTATTCTGTGTAGTTTTGCTCATAAGTAACTATTAACTTCTAATTTGTGATTTCTGCTCCTCAATCTTGTTTTTCAGTTTACTGAGCTGGATTAGTTGTGGATTGACTCTGGTAATTTTGGTGGAAGCTTGATGTAAGAACAGGCTCAATTATCAGTATCCCGATTTACTGATTAAAGGTGGCTGTTATTAACGAGAATTTGAAGATTGTTTAGGACGCAATGGGCGGACTTTGCTCAAGAAGGTCCACTGATGATAGTGCATTGACTGGTACATTTCCGCATGTCAATGGGCACTTCAGTTATGGTCCTGGATTAGTTTATCAGTCTCGGGAGTTGGATGTACAAGAAAATAACGATTCGGTGGAAGCCACGTCTCAGGTATCTACAGATAAGCAACTGAGGGAACCGTTTTCATTCCCTGAGCTGAGTGCTATTTCTGATGTCACAAACATTGATGATATCAACGATGGAATCCCTCGGTTGTCTCGGGCTTTATCGAATAAATCTAGATCTGCAAGGTCAAAGCAAGTGGCAATTGCAAAGGTATGCCCACTGTGGATTTTGTTTAACACTTGCTTCTTTTTATGCGTGTTAGTTTGCTTTGGGATATTGCCGCAATTTGTTGGTTCATATGCATTTACTAACATGTCAGCTTATGTGGAGTTACAAGAAAGGATTGCAAGCCTACACGTTTCACAATTTTGACACAAATCTTCAATGTTATCCTTCACATTTTGGAAGAGTAGTTTCTAGGTCATAACAAATTAGAAACAAAGTTTAAATAACTGGCCACAAAAATTGAAAGTACGTATGGGAAAAATTTCTAGATCATCAAACTTACTGATAAATATGCTTCCTACTCTAAATATGACTTTGGTTTAGCACAAAAGACAGAGAGATTTATTAAACGCCTTTCTTTCTCTCCCTTACTTCTCAAATCCTTTATTTTATATACATCTTATTTTGAAAAGAAAAAGGAAAAAAGAAAAAAAAGGAAAATGCAATAGAAGCAATCGTGAAATGCTAAGATGCCAGAGTTAGAGGAATAAATTGAATTGATGCACATGGGCGGACACAAAAGTTTAAAGTTAGGGGGGCCTAATCGAACTTGCAAAGAAGTTGAGAGAAATTTTACAATCGAAAATTTACGTCAAAAAAAATTATACCTTATGTAATTTTGGATCAAAAAATTTATAAGGGATATGACTTTTTCGGATGTA